CACTGAATAATCTTTACATCCTTACCACACATGCTCCTTAACAACGTACAAACAATGCATCTTACTTTAATTCTGAAGCAATGGTCTGGTCTTGTCATTGCCTCATTATATTATTGCATATGTCATGTTTGCGGTATGCGTGTAGCCTATAAATACTCATATTAATCTTACATCAAAGCTCTTTGCCACACAGCAGTTCTGTTGACCCACTGTAATCAATAGTTTGGATCCTCTCCAATTGTTTTGATAAGGTCTGTAGGCGTGTTTTCCAGCACTACTGAAGAATTGCTGTGGGATGTGAAAGTAGATTACAAGTGTTTTTGCAACTGCCCAGGTGGGGGCTATTTCTTTAATTTAGACAGGGCTTCCTACTGGTATTGGTTCTGCTTCTGGACTTATTCTTTTGGTGGTTGCTATCCCCCTCCTCCCTACCTTAAAAAAGCAAAAAAGGCAGCTGTGAGAATTAAGAGAAGTTTCCTTGCTCTCCAGCATCCTTGTTTATCGTTTGCAATTTTATTTAATACATGCACCTACAGTATGAATCAGATCACAAAAACGAATCATTATGTACACGGCTCCAGCAAGACTGTTTTATCAAGGCGCTATAAAGGCATTGAGTGGAGAGAGAAGTATCTGTGAGGTTGAGAAACTAAAATCTGTGGCAAGCTTGATATGTTTGATGCTCCATTCCAAATAAAACAGAAATCTGACAAATTCCTAATGTTTAAGGTGCCCAGAGAAATTCTGATGAAGAGAATCTTGAGAACATCCATACCAATCTCTGGCAGAATTCAGGCATCACTTAAGTCCTTTGACAAAGCACAGTTTCTTTCCATTTCCTTCTTACCTCTTTCTCCTATGGCTATATAAAGTGCAGATCACTACTATTGCACAACATTATATATATGTATAAGGAAGGATCAATGATTTTGAATGATTCGACTCAGATTAATAGGAATTCTTTCTTTCTATGGGAGTAGATCATGAAGATCAGACGTCACCTAAGGAAGAAATTGGTGGGACATTTCAAGGTATGTTTTGGCCCTCTTCTGTGATAGTATATTCCACAGGTTGATTATGCCCTGCCTGTGTGAAGCATTGCTTTATCTTTTCCAGATCTTTTTTCAATTAGCTTCATTGGATGATTTCTGAACCC